ACAGCATCTGCACTGGGTGGCTCACAACTGCCTGTAAATCTGTCTCTAGGGAGACTGGACACCTCTGTGCTCCATGGGCATCTAAACACACGTAAAATACACACATACACATAAGTAAGTAAAAATGTAAACAAAACAAAGTCAAAAAAAGAAAAGAGACCGAGTTGGTGGTATAGTGGTGAACATAGCTGCCTTCCAAGCAGTTGACCTGGGTTTGATTCCCGGCCAACGAAGCCTGTCCATGTTTTGGGCTGGAGAGATGGCTCAGAGATTAAGAGCACTAACTGCTCTTCCAGAGGTTCTGAGTTCAATTCCCAGCAACCATATGGTGGCTCACAACCATCTGTAATGAGAACTTGTGCCCTCTTCTGGCCTGCAGGCATGCATGCAGGCAGAACACTGTGTGTATAATAAGATAAATAAATCTTAGAAAAGAAGAGAAAAGAAAAGAGTGGCAGTGCCTTTCAGGGAGGGGCTGGACAAGTCAGCTTGAAAACTGGCCAATCTTCACCTTTCTATTTCTTTCTCCTGCATCAGAAAGTCTTTGCTGCTGACCTCCAGAGCTCTGATGTATTGATTTGTAGAGTCTGCTGTGCTTTCTTGGAAGAGCTGGGGAGAAACTGGCTGAAGAGGGTTCCTATTCTGCCCTTTGCAGTGTAACACCAACAGCTCTGTTCTAAACATTTAAGTGTTGACAAGAGGAGCAGCAATGAAGTCAGAGACGTAGCTATCATGCTCCATCTTGAGACCCCAACATGAACAATGCATGGCATACAGCAAGCAGCCCCAAAATGTCTGTTGATGAGTGAATGCAGATTTTCAATAGCTTCTTGAAATACTTTTTTGAGATTTATTTTTATTTTATACCTATGAGTGTTTTGGTCCACCCACCCACCCCCAGGTTTTTTTTTTTTTTTCTCTCTGTGTAGCTTTGGAGCCTATCCTGGCATTCGCTCTGTAGACCAGGCTGGCCTTGAACTCACAGAGATCTGCCTGCCTCTGCCTCCCAAGCACCAAGGCCTGGCAACTATGAGTGTTTTGCATGCAGGCATGTATGTGCATGAGCGTTCCTGGTACCCATGGAGGCCAGAAAAGGGCTTCAGATCCCCTGAAACTTGAGTTAGAAAGGTTTTGAGCCACTGTGTAGGAACCAAATCCAGATCCTCTGCAAGAGCAGCAAATGCTCTTAACTACTGAGCCAGCTCTCTAGCTGCCCTACCTTCCTTTGAGACCAGAGTCTCACTATGTAGCCTTGGCTGGCCTGGAACTTGCAGGTGAGTGTAAGCTGCCATGTGGGTGCTTGGAACTGAACCCAGGTCCTCTACAAGAGCAACAAGTCCTCTTGATAGTTGAGCCATCTCTCTAGACCTGCTATTTTTGATTTTTTTTTCCTGAGACAGGGTTTCTCTGTGTGTAGCTTTGGAGCCTATCCTGGCACTTGCTCTGGAGACCAAACTGGTCTCGAACTCACAGAGATCCGCCTGCCTCTGTCTCCTGAGTGCTGGGATTAAAGGTGTGTGCCACCAATGCCCAGCTTTAGATCTACTATTTTTAATTCTAATAAAATATACATAAAATTTTTACTGTCACATATTTTTAATTTTTTTAAACTACTGGTATGTGTGTGTCTCTGTGTGTGGGTTTTTGCAGATGAGGGGCCACAGAGGGCAAAAGTGTCAGATCCCTATAACTAAAGTTACAGGTGGTTGTGAGGTGCCTGATATGAGTGCTGGGAATGAAACTCAGGTCCTCAGGAACAGCAGTGCATTCACTTAAACCACAGAGCCATCTCTCTAGCCAAACCCCCAGCCTCTTTTGAGATAGGATCTTGCTATGTAACTCAGAGTTGGCTCTGAACTTGTGCAACCCTCTTGCCTCAACCTACAGAGTGCTGAGACTAAAGGCACACACCAACTCACCCAGTGTTGCTTGCACAATTTTAAGTGTACCATCCAATAGTGTTAAGGGGATTCACTTGTTGGTGATTACAGTTATTTCCACCACCCATGTTCAAGATGTTTCATTGTGCAAAAATAAAACTTCTGGTTTTTTGTTTTGCTTTGTTTTTGAGACAAGGCCTTGGCATATTGCCTTTGATGACCTGGAACTTGCTGTGTAAAGACTGGCCTCAAAAACACAGATATTCACCTGCCGTTTCCTCTGCCCAGCAAACACGTAACTTTGAATCCATTAAACAATAGCTCCCTATCTTCTGCTCTCTCCTGTCCCTGGCAGCTATCACTTCCTGTCTCTGAGCTAACTGCATCTTTCGACATGAAATAATATGCTATTGTATTGTGCATGACATGTTGCACATATGTGCAATTGTCATTTGCCTCTCATAATGGTGGAATCATATGCTATTGTCTAGTGTCTCATACAGGCTGACACTTGTCTTATATGTCTCATATAGGAGGAATCCTTCACTATTGTTTTGTGCACCTTATGTTGCTGGAATCATATGTTATTTTTTTCTCTATTGCTTATAGCTGCCATCATTTCCTAGTCTTTGCATCTCATAGAGGTGGAACTATCTCCTATTTTCTTGTGCCTCTCCTTTTGTTGCAATCATATACTATTGCCTTGTGTATCTCATAAAGATGGAACTATATACTATCATCTTATGTAGCCATGTCCATAGAATCATAGGCCACTGTATTGTGAATCTCATGTAGGTAGAATAATTCAACATTTTCTGACACATCTCATTTTGATAGAATATGCTATTGTCTTATTTGCCTTATATAGATGGAATCACATGCTATTTTCTTGTGCATCTCATTTACTGGAATCATTGGGTGGTTGTCTGGTGGGAAGGGGCAGCTACTGGGGCAAGATGGTGGCATGAGTGCCAGCACTAGTCCGGGACTCCAAGCCAGGATTTCAGGCTGGCCAGCTGGAGGTGAGCAATACCACTTAGCCAATTTATTCTTTTTCTTGGGACATTTTCTGTTGATGATCTGTCCTTTTTCTTCAGATGTTTAACTTGTCTAGTGGTCTATGGATCCCTTAGCTGGATGCTTTTATTCTCCTGGAACAATAGAAACAAAACCCTGCCCCAATCCTGAGGGGTGGGTGTCCTTTTTTAGCAGGTTACATTTTTCCTAGGGCAGAATGTTTTTTGGCAACAGAAAAGTATTATCTTTGAATTAAAAATTTTTTAGAAAAATTGAAAGTAAATATACTTAAGTGTGTGTAGATAAATATACCTGTAATTTCCTTCTCCTCCCCATTCTTACTCTCATCCTTCCCATGAGTCCTTGGATTACACTATTTTGGGTAAGTCAGTTCTACTTCTATTTTGTGTGTGTGTGTGTGTGTGTGTGTGTGTGTGTGTGCTTGCACACACAAATGGGAGAAAACACATTTATCTTTCTAAGGCTGACTTAATTCACTAAATATGATTCTCACTAGGTGTCCTTATTTTCCTGCAAAAATCATAACTTTGTTCTTTTCTTTTTAAAATCTTTATTGTGGATGTGTCATGTGTGATGTGTGTGTGTGTGTTGTGCATATGTGCGTGTGCATGTGTGTGTGGAGGTCAGAGGACAACCTTCAGTAGTCTGTTCTCTCCTTCCAGGATGGGTTCTGGGGATAGCACTCAGGTCATCAAGGTTTTAACTGCTGAGTCATCTCATCAGCAATTTTTTTTGTTCTGTGTTTTTATTGGCTTTTGAGACTTGGGTATTATGTAGTCTGAGCTGACTTCAAATTATGAGGTTGTTTTTTTTGTGTTTTGTTTTTTTCGAGACAGGGTTTCTCTGGATTGCTTTGGGGGCTGTCCTGGAACTCGCTCAGTAGACCAGGCTGGCTTGAACTCACAAGATCCGCCTTCTTCTGCCTCCGGAGCGCTGGAAGTAAAGGTGTGGGCCACCACCCCCCAGCCTTAATGTGGTTTTAATTCACTTTTCTCTGATGTGTAGTGAGCTTGAACGTTTTCTTGTATGTTTAATGTCCATCTGTAGTACATCTTTTGAGAACTGTATGCTCTCCTTTAGAGGGCCATGTTCCCCACCTATAATCCCAGCACAGGGATCCACAGGCAGGTGGATCTCTGAGTTCAAGGCCTCTTTGGTAAACATAAGTGAGTTCCAAGTCAGCTACACAGTGAGACCCTGTCTCAAAAGAACAAAACAAATATTCTGCTTTAAAAGGAACAATCTTATCCCCAGGACAATATGGTTATTATGGTTTATGCAGAGTTATCCATTTTGTTGTTTGGGTTTGGTTTTGCGGGGGTATCCAAGGCTGAACTCTACTGACCTTTAACTCCTGATCCTCCAGCCTAAACCTAATGAGTGCTGGGGTTGCAGGACTGCGCCCCCCACACCGGGACAGGGTGAGGATTTGAACCTGAGCTCCTGACTCCGTGTCTTATGCTGTTTCAGGTAAGACGATCTCCCCCTTTAAAAGGCGTGCAGACTGAGATGAGATACTCCCTGTTGAGCAGACTTGCAATGCTAGGATCCTGTGCATTTAGGAGCCAAGGAGTCACGGGGCTTGCTATGGTGTAGACCTTAAGTATCTGAGAGGGCAAAGAGCAGAACCTACATATCACTCACAAAGGGGAGGAGTGGAGGCCCCCACCCCATCCTACCGAAAGGACCCCCAAGTCCTTCCCGGAAACCTGGGCGCGGCCGGGCTGTGTGAATGGCACAGGTCGCGGGCAAGCAACAGAAAAGTGACTTTGGTGAGGCTCCGCCGAAACCCTCCTGAGTTCTCCCGGGAGGGAAACCTGAGGTGTCCACGACGGCTAGCACGGGCTCCCTCGCCTGTTTCTGGTTTCCTCACCTTCCTGTAAGTTATTTCCTCCACTCGGCCCCTAGAGTAAATTTCCTTTTGGTTTGGCCTGACCCAGGCCGGGGAGAACCCGGCTAGAGTCCGCGTGGCTACGGCGCAAGCGCATCCGGACGGAGTTAGGGAGGGGCCGGCCGGCGCACGCGAGCATGGGCTCCGCCCCTCCGCCGCGCCGCCCGTGACGTCACGGGGCGCCGGCCTCCGCCCGGCTGCAAGCGGTGAGAGCTGGCGGCGGTCGGACCTGAAACCGCTGGATCGGGAAGGGATGCGGTTGTCGAGATCCTTCTGGAAGGGGCTTTGGGGAGGACGGGAGGCCAAGATGCACCAGCCCCTCAGACTCTGCCCTCCCTCCTTCTACCCTCCCCCTTGCAGAAATGCCGGGACGCGGGGCCGCGCAGGGGCCGAGCATATGTGACACCTGGCGTTTCCCGGTGGCTTCCACACTCTACCACTCTCTCTCCCAACTCCTTATGCTAATCTCCTGCCTTCCAGATGTTTATTTTCATCCGTCTATCGTTCCTTGCCTTCAGTGGTGTACTCGGAAGTTGGAGATGGATTTTCAAACCTTAGCCCTATCACTTCTGTGTTAAAAGTCCCTGAGCCACAGTATTTCTTCTACTGGCCTTAAGGATCAGTATGACACCAATAAAAAGAAAGGAGATGGACATCTGTTGAATTCCTGCATGGCCAAGTACCGAGCAAACTGCTGCCCCATCGAATCCTCATTACTTGGTGTTCTTAGAACTCCATTTCACATCTTAACCTCACAGAATTTAACTGGCTTGGTCGCACTTAGTGAGCAGCAAGAGGGATTCATTTCTTCCTAGCTTAACTCCAAAGTAGGAACTTGAACCCAGACACTTCCGGTCTGGATTCTGGCTGTACAGTTGGGCTGCCAAACCTCAAGCCCCAGATCAAGTACTTCCTCTTTTCCAGCTGTAAATTCTTTGCACATCCCCTTTGCTAGTACAGAATGCTGTTCCCTGCTTCTCCCTTGGTTATTTCAGAAACGAAATAGAGCAAGCATTTCTTAGATGATCTAAGGAGGTGAACTTTTTGAGCACAGAATCTTGGATTTTGGACCTGGCTCTCCCACCTACTGTGTGGCCTTGAGCAAATCCATTGTCTTCTAACTTTAGCTTGCCTTTGCATAACATGGGTGAGGGCCTTCTGATCTGCAGGCTCTTGTCCAGTTCTCCCTCACTGTCCTCCAGCAGGTGGTCCACGGAGGCCCAGACCCCTCTGCTCCCCATGGGCAGCTGCCAAGCAGGGCACAACCTGCATCTTTGTCTGGCTCATCACCCACCTTTGGTCTGTGCCACTTTGATCCTGCTGCTCCTTGGCCTCTCTGGCCTGGGCCTTGGTGGCTTCCTCCTCACCCATACATCTGGCCTACGTAGCCCTGACATTCCCCAGGTAAGTACCCGGATGCTCACCCTTCTGGTATATGCCTGTCCCTGCCGATAATCTCACTCCTCTCTCGCTCTCCTTTTGCACACAGGATTGGGTTTCCTTCTTGAGGTCTTTTGGCCAGCTGAGCCTGTGCCCTGTGAATGGGACAGTCGCAGGGAAGTGGCGAGGGCCTCATGTCGTCGGCTTACTGACTACTTTGAACTTCGGAGATGCTTCAGATAGGAACAAAACCCAAACATTCCAAGCCAACGTCCATGGTAGTCAGATAGGATTGAAAGGTGAGATCTGGGAATGTGGTGGTCCAGCATCAGAACACTTAGGTCTGGGCCCTGCCTCTGACTTCACCATACTGGTGACCTTGGGCACCTCTGTATATCTGAGTTACCACTGCTGTAGTACAAATTAGATAGGACAAGATACTTTCAGGGAATGTTGTTCATAGTATAGGTTCTGTGTTTTGGCTCTGCTGTTCCAGTTCCAAGTTTCCTCAATTCTGGCATTCACCAGGAGGTCTTGGTTTTAAAACCAAATACCCCTCCCCACTATGTATATATAGAGAGATATGGAGAGAGGTCAAGTATGCCAATACTGCCTGGGTTATATAGTGAGTTCCAGGTCATCGAGGACTACATAGCAAGTTCTGAAACCACCTCATGTATATACATATAACAACATTGAAGTACAAGTCACACACCAATATATATTTCACCCATTTAAAGTATGCAAGTAAGTTACTTTCAGTCTGTTCACACAACCGTTGGAGCCACCCTGAAATCCATTTTAGAACTTTTTTTAATCATCTAAGTAGATCTGCACCTTAGCTGCCCTTGCCTCTTTTCCCCAGGTCCCCATGCTTCTGCAAGTCTACTTGCTGTCTCTGGTGGTCTGCCTGTCTGAACATTGCTACAATATGCAGCCCTTTGTGACTTGAGATGTTTAAGGTTCATGGTACTGCATACTTTTCATCCCAGCACTGGGAAGCACAGGATTGACAGGCAGAGCTCTACAAATTAAAGGCCAGCCTAATCTACATAGCAAGCTCCAGGGAAGCCCAGGCTACATGATGAGAACCTGTCTCAAAAAAAAAAAAAAAAAAAAAGGCTGGGCGTTGGTGCCTCACGCCTTTAATCCCAGCACTCGGGAGGCAGAGGCAGGCGGATCTCTGTGAGTTCGAGGCCAGCCTGGTCTCCAGAGCAAGTGCCAGGATAGGCTCCAGAGCTACACAGAGAAACCCTGAAACCCTGTCTTGAAAAACAAACAAACAAACAAACAAACAAACAAATGCTATTCCTAACAGTAGTTTTTGTGTGGGCATACATGATAGTACTATTGAGAATAGAGGCACGAGGCACGAGTGGAATATAGGATAGCTCTATGATTACTCTTCTGAGGAACCTCCAAACTGCTGTACCATTTTATAGTCTTACACCTGGAGCTTTGCATTTCCTTCCATACTCACGAGCACTTTGTTTTGTTTGTTTTTGAGACAGGGTCTCCCCATGTATTCTGATTATCCTGAGACTCACTATGTAGACCAGGCTGGCCTCCGCCCCTGGGCCCTCCCTCAACCCTGACCCCCAGCACTAAGATCAAAGGCGTGCACTATACTCTCTGCTTAGCAGTACCTTCGTCTCTCATTTTCAGTGTACCCACCCTGATCACTGAGAAGCCCTATTTCACTGTGGTACTGATTTTCAGTGTACCCACCCTGATCACTGAGAAGCCCTATTTCACTGTGGTAGTGATTTTTCGGGTGTCTCAACTCCCTCCAATATAAAAAAAGTTTTAAGTACATGCAATGTAATGTCACCACCATCTTTTTCTGTTTGTTTTGGTTTTTTGAGAGAGGGTTTCTCTGTGACTTTGGAGGTTGTCCTGGAACTAGCTCTTGTAGACCAGGCTGGTCTCGAATTCACAGAGATCTGCCTGCCTCTGCCTCCCAAGTACTGGGATTAAAGGCGAGCACCACCACTGTCAGGCCGATTTTTCGGGTTTCTTAGTCTTTCCTTTAAGTTCCTTTAAGTCTGACAAGAATACAAACATAAAAGAAGCACACATCTGTCAGTGTGTGAAGTAGGTTGGTGAGGTAGACCTTTCAAGGATACAGCATCTAAGCTGAGGCTTTTAGAATGCTTAGCAGTGTATAATTCAGGCAAAGGGAGTGGTAGACACAAAGACTTGCAGATGGGAAGGAACCATGATGGCATGTTTAGGAACTTTGCAGGGTCAGTTTGGATGGTGCATACAAGGAAATGAATGCTGAGCTGGGAAATAGGTCCAAAGCAGGAAGTAGAAACTCATGGCAGTCTTTAATTAATTACAATTCTTTAGTTACTTGTCTCTGTGTATGTGAGCATGTGTGTATGCTACAGCACACTTGTGTAGGTCAGAGGGCAATTCCTTTTAGGTATGGGATGCTGCTGGTGGTGGCACACGCCTTTAATCCCAGCATTCCTTTAATCCTGACACTCAGGAGGCAGGGGCGGTTGGATCTGTGAGTTTGAGGCCAGCCTGGTCTACAGAGTGAGTTCCAGGACAGCCAAGGACTTATACAGAGAAACCCTGTCTTGACAAACAAACAAAAACAAACAAAAAAAGGTTTTATATGCTAGTACATTGGGCAAACTCAGTCTAATCAAAAAAGTAATAGGATTGGGTCTATTCATAGGAAACCTTGGAAGTGACTTATAAGGAGTGATGAGAGTTAGGCATCATGGTGTCTGTAATCCCAATCCTGGAGAAATTAAGGCAGAAGCACAGATTTCAGGACAGTCTGGACTAATATAGCAAGTCTGTAGGTTTTTGGGTGTTATTTGTTGGTTGGTTGGTTTTTTGAGACAGGGTTTCTCTGCATTGCCCGCCTGTCCTGGAACTCACTCTGTAGACCAGGCTGGCCTCAAACTCACAGACCCACCTGCCCCTGCCTCTTGAGTGCCAGGATTAAAGGAATGTACCACACCCACCCCCAGCTGTAAGACCCTGTTTTTAAAGAAAAGGTACAAAACTGGGTGTAGTGAAGCATGCTTTTGATACCAGCACTTAGGAGACAGAGGCAGATGGATCTCTGTAAGTTTGAACCAGCCTGGGCTACATAGTGAGTTTCTGGACAGCCAGAGTCACATAGTGAGACCAGGCCTCAAAACAAACAGAAAAGAAAGGAAGAACAAAAGAAAAGATATGATGAAAAATTAAGATAAAACTTTCATGAACTAAGAGGGGCATTTAATGTCTGGGACTATCAACACAATACCTGGCCAGTGAGTCCATCGGGCAATGGAGTGGGAGGGCAGAGGTTGTCTATGCAATTGTACATGTGCATCTGTGATTACAGTGGATATGCCAAGTTGTATTTCTTTTTCACCAAGACATGTATGGCTTTCTGTATCACTACTGGTCTGTTATTTTAATGGTTGTAAATTGATCCATTAAGTGATTAGGCCATCATCTTTAATGTTTTCTCCAGTAAATAACACTATTGTTCCTAATTTTTTGTACTTGATAAAATCAAAGCAAACATCTTAGTGTATGTTGTTTTGGCTTTTTGTTCTTTTGCTGGTGATTAAGAATGAGCCCAAGGGTTTCAAATATGCTATAAAAGTGTTCTGCCATTGAGCTACACACCTAGCTCTTAACATGCTTGCATTTTTTTTTTAGTCCCTAACTTAGGATTAGTTTCTATAAGTAATATAAATGAATCAAAAGATGTAGGCTTTTTTCTTTTTTTTAAGTTCATTTTAGTTTATTATTGGTTTAGGGGGTAGTCAGAAGACAACTTTGTGTAGTTAGTTCTCTAATTCCACCTTTACCTGGCTTCTGGGTAGTAAATGTCAGTCCTTAGACTTGTATGGCAAGGACTTTTCCTAGATGAACCATCTTACCTGCCCCCTTTGTTCCTTTTTAAATACTGTATGTTTGCTTTTTTGGTGTTTGTTTGTGACAGGGTCCCATTTAGCCAAGGTTGGCCTCAAACTTACTATGTTGCCAAAAATGTTGTTGAGCTCATGATCTGCCTGCTTGCCTGCCTGCCTGCCTCCACCTTCTATTTCTATATGTTGGGTTTTTAGGTGTATATTACCACTCTTAATTTCTGCTGCTTTGTGGTCCACAGGCATTCTATCAACTGAGCTCTATCTCTATCTAGCCTTGTAGAAATTCAGACCACACAGAAGTGTACAATCAAATGTACATTCACTAACAGTTTGGTGAGCATCCTCTTTGCTCATTTAAAATGATGATAGAAGGCGGACATGATAGCCATGCCTATAATCCCAACAGTTGGGAGGTTGAGTAGGAGGATTGCCGTGAGTTCTGGGCCAACATTGGCTAGATAATGTTTTCTAGGATACTCTGGGTTCCAAACAAACAAAAAACTTTTGGTTTTGTGTCTTTCAGAGAAATGCCTTCAACACTTTAAAATTGGAATATAACCTATATTTTCTTTAACCCTTTCTGAAAGCTTTCCTTGATTGGTGTGTTCTTGAATACATTTGGGCTACTTATACCAATAGATGACAGTCTAACTTTGTATTTTTTCTACTGAAAATTGCCCCAAAGATTCTTACTAAGCAAGCCATCCTTTGTCCAGTAATTTGAAATAGGGTATGAACCTTTAATGGATTTTGGTGCCCAGTGGATAACTGCTTTCTTTAAAAGGACAAATATATTTTTGTAATATTTATTTATTGTAAAGATTTATTTTTTGAGCCGGACAGTTGGTAGCGCATGCATTTAGTCCCAGCACTCAGGAGGTAGAGGTAGGCGGATCTCTGTGAGTTGGAGGCCAGCCTGGTCTACAGAGCAAGTTCCAGGACAGGCTCCAAAGATACACAGAGAAACCCTGTCTCGAGAAAAAAAGTTGTTTTTTTTTTTTTTTTTTTTGTTTTTGGTGTGTGTGTGTGTGTGTGTGTGTGTGTGTGTGTGTGTGTGTGTGTGTGTGTATTTGTTTTTAATTTGGCTTGGTTTCTTTGTGTAGCCCTGTCTATCCTAGTAGACCAGGCTGGCCTCAAACTCAGAGATCCACCTGCCTCTGCCTCCTGAATTCTGGGATTAAAGGTATGTGCCATCATGCCTGGTTTGCATATATGCATATGTTTATGACGTGTGTGTGTGTGTGTGTGTGTGTGTGTGTGTGTGTGTGTTTGCTGGAGGGGATCTGATCCCTTGGAGCTGGAGTTGCAGGCAGTTAGAAACTTCTAGATAGGGTGTTGGGAACTGAACTCAGGTTCTCTCCAAGAACAGCCAGTGTTCTTTGCTGCTGGCCATCTCTCTGGCTGCCTACTCAGTTTTCCATCTCCTGTCTTATGCCTCTTGCAGGGTCCTCTGCAGGAGAGTCTATCCTCATCACAGCCAGAGTGGCCTCAGGAAGGACTCCAGAGACCTGCCTCTATTTCAGTGCTGTTCCAGAAATCTTGCCCTCTAGCCAGCCACCTATATCCTGCTCAGAGGAGGGAGCTGAAAATGCTACCTTGAGCCCAGTGATGGGTGAAGAGTGTGTCAGGGTCTGGAGCCTCGAACGCTTTGTGCTCACCAAGCTCCTTACTTCGGTAAATGCCTCAGGTTGATCTTCAAGGTTTTATAGATTGTCATGTGGAGCACTGCCCAAAAGGGTTGAAGAGGCATCTTCACATAGCAGAGAAAGAATGGTCTTGGTCTGGTGTAGTGCCATGCTGTCTTCCAAACCTGGTACTCTAGAGTCTGGGACTGGAGGACGGAAAGCTCAAGGCCAACCTGGACTTTATAATGACAGTATATTTAAAAAGAACAAGAGTGAGCAAGCATAGGTTTTTATAGCCCTGTTTCAGTAAGAGGCATGTGGTCTAGAGCAAGCTCCGAACTGCTCTCAGACTCAGCTTCCTTATCTGCAAAAGACAAATATGATGTAATCTACAGATTCCAGTAACTAAGGACTGAATAAGAATGACTTAAAGTACTCAGCACAGTACCTGATGCAAAACAGAGTTGATTAGAGACAGCCATTTGCTGTTTGCTGAAGAGAGCGGTTAAAGGGCTGCTACACTCTCACACCCCATATTTTAAAGGGCCACTTGTGCCAGGCAGTGGTGGTGCATGCCTTTAATTCCAGCACTTGGGAGGCAGAGACAGGTGGATCTCTGTGAGTTCAAGTCCAGCCTGGTCTACTGAGCAAGTTCCAGGACAGCTAGAGCTACACAGAGAAACCCCTTCTCAAAAAAAAAAAAAAAAACAAAAAACAAAAACAAACCCTGAAAAAAACAAAAAAGGCCATTAGGGGAAGCAGAATGAGATTGGCTTAGTGGTTAAGAGCACAAGCTGCCATTCCAGAGTACCTGGGTTCAAGTCCCAACACCCACATACAACTATTTATGACCTTAGTTCTAGAAGATCTGATGCTCTCTTCTGGACTGTGCAGGAACTGCATGCAGGTGGTGCAGACAAAACACCCGTAATACAAATACACATATAAAAATATTTTAGAAGGACCATGCCTGGATGTGATGGTAAACACCTGTCACCCCAGGACTCAGAAGGCTCAAGGCAAGAAGCACATGAGAGTTGAAGCCAGCCTGAGCTATATAACTAGACCTTGCTTCATTAAAGAGGAAGAAAGGAAGGAGGGAAGATTGGTGGAATGTGGAGAATGGTGACGGGGGGGGGGGGGGGGGGGGGGGTGTGATGGCTTGCTCACTCTCTGATAGTTCAGTTGATGATTGGGCCAGAGAGCAGTTTGGACCCCATCAGGACAAACATTACCTTTCACCTGTCCCAGAGCTTCTCTCTAGGCATCAGGAGGACTCTGCTTCATGGAGGGTTGTCTGTTTTGCAGGGTATGGGACAAGGTATCTTCCCACTGGAAGATTCCCAACCGCTCTGTTGTCATTCCCCCTCTCTCCCTGTCCCCACCACTAGGAGGAGCTAGCTCTGTGTGGCACCAGACTGTTGGTCCTGGGCTCGTTCCTGCTTCTCTTCTGTGGTTTTCTCTGCTGTGTCACTGCTGTGTGCTTCCATCCACGCCCAGAGTCCCACCGGTCCAGAACACGGCTTTAAGGGCACTGGCCTGCTCCTTACTCTGTTCTCAGGTGAGGTTCTGTGAGAGTTAGTGGGGAAGGGATGGAGTTGAACTTGGTAAGGTAGACCCTTAGAATCAAAAACTGTGAGTCCCTGAGAGCCCTATTCAGCTATCTCCTTATGGAGACTGAGAACAGCGTTCTCCATAAACGTACAATGCTTTTATTACTTCTGCCTTTTTCTTTGTGTGTCGTGTGCCCTGGTGTGCATGTCAAGGTCAGAGAACCACCTTGTGGGGTTGATTCTTTCCCTCCATATTTATGTAGGGTTAGGAGAATTAAACTCAGGTCATCAGGCTTGTTCTCACAGCAACAACTTTTACCTGCTGACCCTGTCTTTACTAGGAAATAAGTAACTTTCATGTATAAAGACAAACCATAAAAGTACATTTTGACAAATTATTATAAAATGGACACTTGTAAATACCACACAGGGAAAAAAAGAATATTATCAGCAATTCAGATGCCTCCCCTAAGCAGGGTAGTGGCAACAGCACATGCCTTTAATCCTGGCACTCGGGAGACAGAGTCAGGCAGATCTCTATTAGAGTCCAGCCTGGTTTACAGAGTGAGTTCAAGACAGCCGGGGCTACACAGAGAAACCCTGTCTCAAAACAAAACACCGAAAAACAAACCATGTACATAACTCCCCTAAAGTAAATTAATATAATTTAAAAAATAAGCCGGGAGTTGGTGGGGCAGGTCTTTAATCGCAGCACTCGGGAGGCAGAGGCAGGTGGATCTCTGTGGGTTTGAGGCCAGCCTGGTCTACAGAGCGAGTTCCAGGACAGCCTCCAAAACAATACAGAGAAGCCCTGTCTCAAAAAACAAAAAATAAAAATTAAAAATTAAAAAAATAATAATTTTGCCAGGGGTAGTGTATATGCCTTTAATTCCAGCACTCAGGAGGCAGATGCAGGTGGATCTCTGTGACTTTGGGGCCAGTCTGCCTTACATAGCAAGCTTCAGGCCATTCAGGGCTACATAGTGAGACCCTGTCTCAAAATGGATAAATAAATATTAAATAAATTTCAAGAGAAACACAAGACTCCATATTTAGGACGGATCTTCAAATTTGAACCCTCTTAATTCATCATTGCTGCCTTAAGGGTAGGTGTGAAGTGGAGCTCTGGTGAGTCTTACAATCAGAACATTACTTGGAAGACAGCAGCCACAGAGGATATGTACAGAAGCATATCAAGTTAAAAACTAAGGTTCCAGTGTATTGGTAAATGTCTTTAATACCAATCAGAGGCAGGTGGATCTCTAGATTTGAGGCCAGCCTGATCTATTTAGTGAGTACCTACCAACTAGGGCTACATAGTTTTCATCTCAAAAACAAACAAGAAAATACCTTTAATCTCAGCACTCAGGAGACAGAGGCAGGCAGATCTCTGTTAGTTTGAGGCCAGCCTGGTCTACATAGTATGTGTCAGGTGGCTGGGGCTACAAATGAGACCCTATCTCAGAATAAACAAAAACAAGTAAAATAAGGGGCTGGTGGTTCGGTGGTTAAGAGCACTTACTGCTCTTGAAGAGAACTAGGATCTGGTTCCTAGTACCCACATCTAGCAGCTCAAAACCACCTGTAACTCTGACTCCAGGGGATCCGACACCCTTTCTGGCCTCCTTGAGCACCTGTGTACATAAACTCATGAAGGTACACACAGATACACATAAGTAAAAATAAATAAATCTTTTTTTTAAAAAAAGGTAAGGGCAGGGCCCTAGGGGGTTAAAAAAACCAAAAACCTTAGGGGGTTAAAAAATAAATAAAAATAATCCAGGCTTTGGTGGCATATGCCTTTAATCCCAGCAATCTGGAGGCACAGGTAGATGGATCTCTGTGAGTTCGAGGCCAGCCTGGTCTACAGAATGAGTTCCAGGACAGCCTCCAAAGCCACAGAGAAACTCTGTCACAAAAAATCAAACAAAAAAACCAAAACAAAACAAAAAATAAATAAAAATAAAAATCAAACCTCATCCATACTTAGGGAATGTTTTCATTTAAATAACCACACCTCCAATAATCTTCATTGGCTGTGATCCTGGAATGTATAGCTGTATAGAACTGAAAAGCATAATAGCAAGGTCTTACAGGGAGATCAAGAGCACTGTCAGGAAGGAAGGAAGGGAGGTGTCTTTTTTTTATTTTCCCAATCATATCCTCTCATTGAGTGAAAAATGTCAATCCAATAAAACATCTTGACCTTGTTGGGAGGGTTCCATCCCATTTGAAAGTGTTATGTATCCAGCTCTTAAGCCTTCCTCAGGTTCTGCTGGCCTTTGTATGCTAGGAAATTACTATGGGAGAGTGGAAACAGCCTAGACTGGAACTGCTCCAACCCAGAGGAACTGGAAGCTCTAGATAACTTTGTTAAATTTCCTTAAAGCTAGGTCTCACTGTCCCATTTTCTGTACTTAGAATAGGAAACAGTGGAGCCCATTCAGTTCAGGTGGTAGAGGCTTTCAGCTTTTTGGCCCCTGGTTGATCCTGGGGTTCTGAAGCTGCTACCCCTGTGGGATTAAGTGCCAGAACTGTCTCAAGATGTCCCTTCTGCTGTCCCTGAATTTCTGCATCCATGCAGAGCTTCCAGGGGCTTTCCTACTTGTTCTGTTTTCTTTCTTATTCTCCAGGTGAAGATCAAATTCTTGGGCCTACTTCTGAGTTTAGAAGACCTATTACAAAAAACGAAGATCTGGAATGTGGGAAAATAAATGGCTTTTTGATCACTGTTGTGTAAGGTACTTATTGGGGATTGGATTAAACTCAGTATTTTAGGGTGTTTTCCTGGTTGCACAAATTCATGATGTATATACATGCCATGGCATGTACATGGAAATCACAGAACGATGATTCCGTCTCTTCAGCTTTTCCATCTGAACCCAGACTAACAGACTTTCATGGCAAGCACCTGCTTAGCTGTTTTGATCCTGTTTCTTTTGTGGTGCTGTGATTGAACACAGGGCCTCATATATGCTTGGCAAGCACTCTATCACTGAATAATATCCACAGCCCTGTTTTGTGTGCTGGTTTTTTGAGACAGGATCTCACTATTCAGTCCTGGCTGTCCTGGAACTTTCTTTGTAGACCAAGCTGACCTCAAACTAACAGAGATCTGCCTGCCTGTGTCTCTTAAATGCTGGGGTCAAAGACATGCGCCACTATGCTCAGCTTGAGTTTTTTGATTGTTTTGTTTTGTTTTGTTTTGATACTGGGACTCCATTAGGTCACACAATGCTGTGGAACTTGTATTCTCTTGCTTCAGATTCAGCCTGCTGAGTGTTGGAATTGTAAGCATAATCCGTCACCATACATTCCTTTTAGACATACTGGGATCCCGCCCCCCAGCTGTGCTATTTGATCACTTGTTTTCTCCCATGAACTTAAATTGTCGATTCTGTTTAGGTAGGGGCTTTTAGACAGTGGAAATGCTTTGACATAAATGCATCATGACTTTTGACGAGTTATACAACCCTACTGTACCTCAGTTTTCCTGTAGGGATTTGACCTATTGGGTTTCCCCAACTTTGGCACGTTATCCTCGCGCTTGGGAGCTCAGGTTTAGTTTAGATACTTAGGAACATCATAATGGCCCGTTTTCCCGCCTTTTCCGCGCAGTTGCTAGCACCCTTGCTTTACTCCTCTCAGCCTTTATCCTGCACGCAGGCGCAGGCCACAGGTTCCCTTCCTCGCGCGCCCCCTCGGAGCTTGCCCTAGCAACAAGCTCAGTCGCAGAGCGAAAGCTGGGTGGGCGCATGCGCCACAGCTCTTTCCACCGGCAGTCCTCGGACCGCGCGCTTTGGGCTCCTCCCCAAGCAGGCCCTGCCTTTCTCCTCTCTTCTTCCCACCCAGGATCCGCGTGGCGGGGCGCGCGCGCACTTGGGCTCCAGGGCAGCTTCTCGTCTTGGCCACAGCAGCTAGGGGCGAGGGGCGGGGCTATTTCCTTTGGGGCCCCACCCCCTTTGGCCTGGCGTCCCTACCGCGCCTGCGCGCTCCCGCCCGGTCTCCATCTTGGAATTGGGAGGAAGAGGGAGAGGGAGGCCGGGACGAGAGCAGGGCTGTGGTGCGGTGAGAAGCTGAGACGAAGAGGAAAGGGAGTGAGGGCGCAGGGACGATCAGCCGCACCTCAGCTACATTCTTTCAGTTGTTCCGGAGAGAGAGGACGGGGAAGGGAGGAGACCCGGGTTGGAGTGGGGGCTGTCACTCTCGGACCCCAGCCTGAGAGGGGCCGTGCAGCCGGGCGTCCTCGGGGTGGGCCCGGTGTCGGTGACCGAAGACCTGGGGCTCAGGCCCCTAGGTCCCAAATTTTGGGGCTTGGTCCCTCGTTCCTTAAATACCTAGATACCAAGCCCTCATATATCAGATATCTGGGACTCGAGTCCCAACCTTTACAAACCTGGGTCTCTGTTTTATACAATTTAAAATACCTAGGACTCAGGACCTTGCGTGCACCAGTATCCAGGGTTCATTCTCCAGGCGTCCAAATACCGGATTCATTTTTGGTCCTTGCAAATATTCGGGGCTTAGACCCCACAATCGGAAATCCGGGATTCAGCAACTGTCGCCCTCGAGTTGGGGGAGGACTGGACCGCGAGGTCAGATCAGGTTGTCACCTCCTCCCCTCCAGGGGAGGCTTCCCGGGCCCGCCCCTCAGGAAGGGCGAAAGCTGAGGAAGAGGTGGCAAGGGGGAAGGTCTCCTTGCCCCTCTCCCTGCTTGTCAGAGCAACTGGAGTACCCCAGGCGGAAGCGGAGGCGCTGGGGCACCATAGTGACCCCTACCAGGTGAGACACGGGTGCATGGGCATGAGTCCCTGTGGCCAGCTCCTTTCTGAGAAGCACGGGCTGGATAGGCCCTCTCCTCAGTATGGGGAAGCCCTGCTGGGCCCATGGTCAGTTTGTGGCCAGCCTTGTCTTCTGTTGCCACCTCTTTCTCTCTTCCTCTTCTCTTCATTGTGTCTGGTTGAAGGGGGACCTCGGGTGACAGGGCCTGTCATGACACCAAGGGTCACGCCTTAGGATGCTTAGCTAATCAAAGGGGTTTCCACCTTTCTGGTCTCCTCCCTTATTAATTTTTCCCCCATAACCACCCCTTCACTGTGATTTTATTATACTCCTTTTTTTTTTCAGACTGCCATAGGGTGTTGATTCCCATATAGGTGGGCTTATATTTATTTATTTTGGTTGAGACAGCCTTTCTGTAGCCCTGGCTAGTGGATCTGGCCTTAAATTGGAGGCAGTCCTGCTTTAACCTCTCTATTGCTTTGATTACAGGTGCAAGCCACCACACTGACTGCTTTATATTCTTTTCTGGCATGGTCTAGTTGGAGTTTTTGTCATTGCAAAGCTCTGTGTGTGTGTGTGTGTGTGTGTGTGTGTGTGCTTGGTAATGTTTTCCTCCAGCTGCATTTACCCACCTGTCTCTTGCTGTAACTGTGTAAATAATCTCATACATTTGCCAGGTGACCTACCTTTTACAAAGTACTTTAGCATACATTTTTCTCATGCCACACTCAGACCTGCTCAACCCATGGGAACTCTTTTATTATTGCCTTCCCATTTTACAGTTGAGAACATTGATGCCCAGAGAGGTTGTTCAAGGTCACCCAGTGGCAGAATCAGGATTTTAACCTGGCTTATACCCATCTTTTGCCATCCCTTTTCTTCTGAGCCTAGGCTTGATGAGGGATCCACAGACTGTATCAGAGTGAAGTTTAAAAATGGGGGTATAATGATCTTCCTTTACAGAAAGGCTCTACTCAGGAGCTTTTCCTGAGAGGAAGCTCTGCTGTGCTTCTGCCTCACGGGTTTTTTTCTAATGTGACCTTCATTTTTACCCTAACCCCAGACTTTGACCTGGGTTCCAGAGATAGCTCTCTCTTCTAACAAATGATGCCTTTAGTGGCTCTTCTTAACTGTGGAGTTAGAACGCACCTCTCTTTATTCCCCCCACCCCAGCATTAAGCCTTGTAGTAACCCTAGAATTAGGGAAGGAAAAGCCATTTGTTCCGTGTCTACAAAGTGTTCTGAGTGTGGGATCTCATATAGTTGCATTCTGTAATCCACTTAACCAAAGAGAAGTATAAGGGACTTACCTGAAGCTCCATTGATATATGTTGTAGATGGGATGTACTGGTAAGATAATTTAGGGACTCTTTTGCAACGTGGATTTTAGGAGGTGATTATGACTTAGCCCAGACCATGGTAATTGCTCAAATGTTATTGTAAGGAAGGGGGCCTGTATGATGTTTTCCAATGGCTGGCACTCTTTCTTGTGGCCTGGGGTTCTGGGTTGGCAGTCATGGGCTTGTTACTAGTTAGGAAGTCATGAGGGTTCCATTGGCAAGTTGTGAGCACCTGCCTTTTGTGTGATTATGTGGCGAGAGGTGATTGCCCCAGGAGAAGTGGCCTGCCTTGAGCAGACTTCCTAGTCTGCTGAAGGCAATCAATCAATCAATCATCAATCAATCAGTCTCTCAGGCTATTCTGAGCCCTTCACACCCCGGAGACCCACCAAAGACTCAGGCTCCCTCCCTACCCTCTAGCTTCCAGTTGAGCTGAGGAGACAAAATTAACAACATGGACAGGAAACAATGCACCACAGAATATAATTATATGCTGAAATTGTTAGGTACCTTTAAGTAGCTAGAACTCTGCTGAGGGTTCTTTGTGTCTAAATTCCCCATTAGTCCTTAAAAAGGCCTGTCTTGGAGTCCCTGAGTGTTCTGGTTCTGGTACTTTGCAGCAACTTTCTGAATTTGGCTTGGAGTGCCCACCCACTAAGGGTTGGAATGACCTGAGAGGCCTTCCTCTATGGGGAGGCTGGGCTTAGTTGCCCGCCTAACAATGTTCTGTCCTGACCAGAGAGGGAAAGGTGCTGTTCTGTGACCTTGGGAAAGCCCCTTTTCCTCTCAGCCTCAGTGACTCTGTCTGGAAAATGGTGATCCTGATCCTGCCTTGCTGGTTTTATTTGGCTGTTCTGAAGGCCGGCCCGGTGGTGGCAAACCAGCTTTGGGCAGATCATTTGATCTTTCTGAGCCTGTTTACTTTTCTATAATAGATAGAGGTGACAATAGTGTTTATCCATACAGTTGTAGGAGCTCAGTGAGAGGTGATGTGTGTGAGATACATAAATGTCCATGACCCACAACATCACATCCCATGCTTATGTATGCTGCTTATGCAGGCAGACTGAACAAGTATGACAATCCAGAACACAGAGGTCCTCAGAGTCAGGTGCCAGTCCCTACTATTCCCATTCTAGATGTCCTCACTGCCACAGTGTCCCTATATTTTTTGAAAATGAGTCTCCTGGTCCCTTTAGGCCAGTACCCACTTGTAACAATGGCCGGATTTCCACCATATCCGGCCTGACTGTTTCCTGTTCTCATCCAGTGTGTGAGAGCTTGAAGGAGGAGGTAGCCTCAGCACCAAAGGGGACAGGAAGGTGCCTGGAAATCACTGGACTATGAGAACTTGTGGGATAGGACATGTGGGGATATGAAGCTCTGGCTGGGAGGGAATAGCTGGGTATAGGGAACTGGGAAATTGCTGAAGGATGAGGGGGTTGATGAAGATGCTTAGCTTCCCAGAATTATCTTCCTGGCAATTTTAGGGACTCTGGGGACCCAGCCCCCATGATCTGGTTGCCAGGGCAACTTTTTTTTTTTTTTTTTTTTTTTTTTTTGAGCTTTGATAGTGTTCCTAATAGCCTCCTAACCTTCCTCAGCAGT